TGGGGATGGGACCAGCCTGGAGGGTTATTGGGGCTGGAGGTGTCATTGTAGAAAGGCTTGGGGTGGAGGGTACCTGAAATCCAGACCCACCCCGTCATGGGTAGGGACACCTTCCACTATCCCAGCTTCCTTCTAGCCCTGTCCAACCTGGCCTTGAGAACTTCCAGGGACGGGGCAGCCACAACTTCTGGAGCACCCTGTACCAGGGTCACCCCATCCTCACAGGAAAGGATTTCTCTTCAATATCCCATCTAGCCCTGCCCACTCTCAGGGAGAACCTGTTCCCCCCTGTGTCACTCCAGGCCCTTGCCCAAAATCCCTCTCCAGCTCTCCTGGAGCCACATACCAGCTCCTCTCCAGGTTGTGGAGTTCCACATGGGGAAACCCCTTGTCCCATGGGTGTTCACCCTGTGCTTACCCATCCAAAACAGCCCTGACTCTGTGTTTATCAGTGATTGTGGTGTGTAGGTGACATCCTTCATGGCCTTTGACACTGCTTTTTGTTCTCTTCAGGAAATTCACCTGGTGAAGGCAGGGGGTCCCCTGGGCCTCAGCATCGTCGGGGGCAGTGACCACTCCAGCCATCCCTTTGGCATTCATGAGCCTGGTGTCTTCATCTCCAAGGTACAGTCCCAGCAGAGCTGCCCTGCGTGTTCTGAGCTGTTGGTTGTTGGCATTAAGGTGAAGGATTTGGATGTGAGTCTGGCTGTACAGGATGGATTTGTGAAATAAGGGCATGGGAGAGGGATGTGTGAAGTTTGTACTGCAGGTGCTGCTCCTGGAGCCATCTGAGGGCATGTAAAAGCCTCAGACCTTTCTAATCCATGCTGACCCCTTTGGAGGGATCCCAGTGTGCTTTTGAAATTGCTGGGTTCAGGTTGGCTTTAGTGAGTCCTGGGAAGATGCTGGCATTGTAGGAAGCCAGGCATTACTGGGAAGGTGCTGGTGGGACAGTGTGTGGCTGCTCTGCTGCACTCAGACCAGTGCCCTTGGATCCACATTGATCCTTTGATTCCATATTCCCATTCCAGTGGTGATGCCACACAGGGGCTGCACACACCTGGCCACTGCCTGCAGCCCATTCCCTCACAGTCCTGCACTTCCACGCTCATGGGAATGGGGATGGTGCAGAGGACATCCCTGCAGAGCCCTTTCTGCTTCCTGACTGCTCTTGTCACCTGGAGGTGCTGAACCTGACTGACACCTGTGGCTGGGTTCACACCTTGTTAAGGGCTGTTTGGAGTCCTGGGGGTGATGCCTGCCAGGCCTCTCCCTTGGTGTGCCCATGGTTTTTATTGCAGTGCATCAGCAGGTCAGTGGGGCAGGATTTGCTCTTCTCAAAGCCTGACTGACTCTTTCCCACCATCCCTGCTTCCCACGTGCTCACAGATTTCACCCTTTCCTTGCTGGCTCCTTTGTTTCACCAGGAGCTCAGGTTTGGTTGTGTGTTCAGCTCTCAGAAGCCCCTGCAGAGCACTGGGTGAGGACGGGAGCAATCCTGGTGCTGTCAGACCTGGTTACACTCACAGGCAAAATAATGGCAACAGTGGCGCAGGGTTGGCTCAGATTAAATTGGGAATATGGGAATAACATATGGAATAGCACTTGAAAGCACATCCCACTTCATTCTTCAGTGTTCCCAGTGTGTCACCTCTTGGGGAGTTTTGTCTGCAGAGAGGAGTCAGATCAGGGCTGCAGGGTGCTGGAGGATGCCTGGGCACGCAATCACATCTCCAAGGAGAGAAGGACTGTCCTGGTTGAGACAGTCACAATGCAAAGCAACGCGCTCCATTCTCAGAAGGCTTCAAACTGTTTTTATTACAGCATGCATGCTTTTTATACATTCTGTTGGAGTACCAGCCGTGGGTTTCTCTGGGGCTGGATTGAAGGCACTAAGACTNGACTTCCAAGCCTACTTCCCACACTCTTTGGAAGCAGCAGTTTTCCTTTTTTATTGGAACTCTTCCACGATGCCATGTTGTCTAGGATGTGGGTACAGGTTGCCTGTATCTGCATGGGGAAGGAGAGGACCTCACTGGGGACAGGGCCCATTTCCAAAGCTGTCCTCTCCTGGTCATGCTCAGCTCTCACTTTGCCAAAGAATTCTGTTTTCTTAAGAAAATAAATACAGCACAGAGCTTCCTGCTCTTCCCCTGTGCTCTAAATCCTCCTGGACTTTTCTTCAGGAGAAGAACTGAGATTGCTCCTTTGCCTTTCTTAGGGGAGCTTTGAGCACAGGGGTTGAGGAGCCCAGCTGGATCCCACCTGAATTAACATCCCTCAACATGGCCCAGTGACTGTCACTCATTCCCTGTGTTCCAGTGTCTCTTGGGACTCATTCTGGGGGAGAAGACTCCAGACAGGGACTGCTGGGGGGTGCTGCAGAGCTGGAGCTGTGGGATGGGAATCCAGCAGGGAGGGTGCAGGACTGGGAGCTGATTTTTTGGGGACTGGGAAGAAAATTGCAAAAAAATTTGAGAGATGTAGGATAGTGGTGGGTGACACGTGCAGTCCTAATGATGCAGTGTGACCCCTTAGAGACTTGCCAGGATAATATAATTCCCTGGCACACAGAGAATAATATCATTCCCTGGAACTTTCCCTTGCCCATGGCACTTAGAGGGCCGTGCTGCATGGCTGGCCTTGCTCTCCAGCTAGGTAAAGGCCATGGAAAATCACCTGCCACAAAAGCTGTGTGGCCACCAGGATTCCAGGCAGGGGAGAGTTACTGGGTGAAATGCTCCAGGGGCTGTTACATTTGAGACAGATGTGGTGATAGAACCAAAGAGCCAAGTCTCTGCTGGGTGTTGCCTTTGTTAACCATCAGAGGACCCCAGGAATCCTCCCTTCCCAGTCCCCTGCACACTCTGGTGGCTGCTGCTTTCCCTGCTCCAGCTCAGCCATCAGCAGGGCAAAGTGCAGGCTCCAGATGTGGAACACGGGGCAGACACAGCTGGTCCCAGACTCTAGATGTGGAACATGGGGCAGACACAGCTGGTCCCAGATCAGCATGGGAGCAAGACAGGGCAGTGCCCTTGCAGGTGCACACCTGAGCACAGGTGGTGCTCACAGGGCAGCAGCACAGCCTGGTGCTGCCTCTGGCTCATCAGGGTTCAGCTTGCTGGGGGATGGCACAAATNCACAGGTGCTGTGGAGTAGGGCAGGGGTACCCCAGTGCTTCCCTGCCTCACATGGAGCTCCGGCCCTGCCGTGCTGTCGCTGCGGATCTCACTGCTCTCACCTGTGTCTCTGCCTCCTGCTCCTCACTCCCCTCCTGCGGGAGCCTTCCTCAGCCTCCTGACCCTCCTCCCTCGCTGCATGCTGCCTCTGGGAAGCTCCAGCTCCTGGTGCTGGTGGTGGTTTCTGCCCAGCTGCTGTGGTGAGAGCACAGCGCTGGCGTGAGTAAGCACTGATACAGCCTCGTCAGTGCTGGCTTCTGTCTGCTCTATCCCTGGGCTGGGGCTGGCTTGGGTTTGCTCAGGCACAACGTTTTAGGGCAGGTCTGACACTTGGCAGCAAGCTTGAAGTGGTATGGCATCTCTCACCCCCTCCCAGTGCTCCCCACTGCCCAGAATCGAGCCCTGACCCTGATTAATGCCAGATTATTTTGGATTTGCTCATGGTTTGATGCTCCATGGTACAGAGGCAGTACTGAGGCCCATCGTTTGGGATTGGTTTGCTTGACCTGTGGAAAAAGGAGACACAAAACCTTAGAACAGATTCAAAAGTCAAACCTGCCCCCACCCTGCTTCACCGGCTCTATTTATATCCATGGGCAGCTTCATAGGAAAAGCAGATCCAATTCCCTGGTAATAGCTTGCATGGATTCCTCATGGGATNTATTTCCTCCTCTACAACAGCTTCACAGTTTCTCATTTCATTTCCTGCTTGCCTTTATTTTGCTTTGTTTCTTGTCTTGTGTTTTTTCCTATAGGGCAAACCCACACATCTTTCCTTGTCCCCACATTCCTGTTGGTCCCCCTGTGCCTGTCCCTTCCTGCCCACTCAGACATGCAGGCTCTTTCCTCCTTCCATGGAAAGCACCAGGAATTCCTGTCCTTTTCTCCTGTGCCATGCACTGTCTGTGTGACTTTGTTCCTTTTTTAGGTGACTGCTTATGTCACACAAAATTCTCACATCAGTTTTCCTCCAGAAATTGCACGTTTTCTTGTTCAGCTTATGCTTATCACTTTATGCTTCTCCCAAACCCTTTCCAAAAAGTTTTTATTGCTTTTTCTTTGCTGGTAGCAGAGCTCTGCAATAAGTCGTGTCATTTTGGTCTGGCTGCTGACAAAGAGGACTCTGGGTGTTCACTTCATTGTCACTGATTCCCTCTTCAGCTGTTTTTTTGGGGTAGAAACTGATGTGAGTTATCCTCATGGCTGAAGACACTCCATAATTGGCAGTCAGCCCTGATAATTGATAATTAGCTGCTGCTAAGGCAAGGGAACATTCAGCATTTGTTGTTATGTGGCTGTAACTGTTTTATCTGAGTTCTAAAGATAAAATAAATTCCCTCTTTCAGAGTGGCAGTTGCACGTTCACGTGGGACATTTGTAACAGCAGGAAAAGAAAACCTGGGATTATTCTAACTGGCAGTTATTTTGAGTAGTTGGGTCTGGTTTTCTCTCCTGCCACATTACAGGATTTGGGGTGGAAGGTTCACAGTTTAGCCATGGCACAGAGTTAGTTTACCCCATCTCCCCTCCCTGTTTTTCCCAATACTTGCTGTTTTAGCCTGCAGAGAACCAAAATCTTGAATTTCCCTGTTCTCCCTTGAGCTGTGTTCCTCCCCTGAACCTCTTCTACCTGTTCTGTCTGGAGGGGTTTCCCTGCCTCTGCTTTTCCCTGGATATTTGCAGTAACCAGGAGACAAAGTGGTGCTTTTCCTCTTCCTCCTCTTTGCATGTCTGATCTTTGCCTCCTTTCTCCTTAGTTTGTCTTCATTTGCATTTCCATTGTGTCTCTCTGGCACCACAAAATGATTTCTCTTTCCATGAGATCATCATGATGTGGCAGCTTTTCCTTCTCACCCGCCTCTTTCCTTGGTTACATGGAACCAGGAAGGCTTCTTCAGAAGGCTTCAAGCTGTTTTTATTACAGCATGCATGCTTTTCATACGTTCTGTCTATGGGGTACCAGTTGTGGTTTCTCTGCATCTGGATTGAAGGCACTTGAGACGGTAGTTCATGTTCGGACAACAAATTTCAAATTCACCTTTTTTTACCTCACAAAGGATTCTTCCACACCTCCATCAGCCTGTACAGGTTCTTCCTGCTCTGCCCTCTCCACAGTACCTGCAGATCCTCCCCTGCCTTGCAGCTGCAGGCTGTTGTTTCCGTTCCCTGTGTGTGCTGTCACCCCTCCCTGTCCCCAGGCTCTCGTGTCCCCTCTGAGCTGCTGCAGTGGCCCCTGGTGTAAGAGCCTGAGTGAGAGATGCAGGACTCCAGGGGGCTCTCCAAAATGCAGTTTATGGTAGACAAAAGGCAGTTTATTGTGTACAAAATGCAGTTTATTCCATCCAAGAGGTTACAGCAGCCCAGGGTTGTGGGTGACAGAGCTGTGCCTACAGCGGTCAGCTCCAGCTGCAGGCAGGCCTGGACACCCTTTGGTTTTGGTTACAATGCATTATATACTTTTCTTTTGGTTACAATACATTAGATACTTTTCTTTGCTGAGCATCTTGATACAGTAGAACCAATCTATACCTTAACTTTTATCTATAACCTGTCATAACTACTGTAATTACCATATTCTTGTTACTATTCTCCAGTCACTAAAAGTCAGTACATTACAGTTTAAGCTAGAAGTTGTTTTTCAGTTTTCTTGCAGTGGAAAATTCTGAGACCTTTCTTCTACATTGGCAGGCTTGTTTGCCTGTGCTGTCTTTCTGCTTTGTAAAAATATCTTCTTGTTTGAGGTGGGTTTATCCTTTGCTCTAAGCCTTAAAAACCCCTTCTAACTAACACACCCTTTGCCTCATTGGTTATCCAGTAAGACTGGCTCAGCAATTCTTTTCTTCTATATCAAAACTTGCTTCCATCTCTATTCAGACTCAACATTTAAATATCTTTCTGCTGAGCACACACACATCTGTGAGACTTTCCTGTCAAGCTTTCCTCCTCCCCAACACCCGGTGTGTTGCAGGTGAGCTCCTCGGGGGCGGCAGCGCGGGACGGGCGGCTGCAGGTGGGGATGAGGATCCTGGAGGTGAACCACCAGAGCCTGCTGGGCATGACGCACACCGAGNCAGACTCCTGGCTGGGATCTCCTGCTCCTGATGCCTTAGCCAGGGCACTGGGGACAGTCACAGTGGGGTTCTGGGGCACTTCTTACCTGGGGGAGGTCTGGGGTAGAATACAGCCAGACTCCTGGGATTTCCTGCTCCCAATACCTTGTGAAGGCTGGCCTAGAACAGAGGCTGGATGGAGCTAAAGTAGGGATTTATTTGGAGACCTCAATAGAACCACCTTGGGCAGCACAGGAGCCCAGCCAGGGCTACACCCAAGATGAACCCAAAAATTTTTTCACAAAAAAAAGGGATAACCGGTCACAGGGTCTCGTACTTCTATAAGTTTTGGTCCATTAGCATATTGGAGTCAATTGTCCAATTACAGTTTTGGCACATGAAGTCCCATCCTCCTCCTTTTTCTCTCTCCAGCCCACGGTATTTGTGCTCTTGGGGCTGAGATTTGGATCATTTGTCCTTGGTGCCCAGCTGGAGCAGGAATTGTTTTCTCTCCCTGCTCTGTGCACAGAGCTCACCATCCCTTAATATGAAACCCAGATCCACACACTAAAGCAGCACAGAATCTGAAAAATAGAAAAGCTAAACCTGAGGCACCACTCCTTTGGCAGAATCCAGTCACTTTAAGTGTCTCCAGCTGGGTTGTGCTGAGGATCTCTTGTCATGGCTGTGGGACTCTGTCATCAGGGAACAGAAAAGGGCAGGTCCTCCCCAACAAGAATAAACTGCCAAATGAGGATGGGGTTAATTCAGGCCCTTTTCAGGGCATTTAGAGCTGTGGTCACTCCAAGGAGTGACCAAGCTGAACTTGGCCCACAAACAAGGAGTTTTTTCTGTGTTTCCAGGAAATTTGCATTGAAAAGGCTCCAGGAGAGAAGCTGGGCATCAGCATTCGGGGTGGAGCCAAGGGCCATGCTGGCAATCCGTTTGATCCCACTGATGAAGGCATCTTCATCTCCAAGGTACCAGAGCAGCACCTCTGCAGGGAGAAGGGTGAACCCTGGGGAGCTGCTGGAAAGCTCTCAGCTTTCACTGGTGCACCAT